CAATTCAAAATTTATTTCAACTAGTTCAAAATAAATTGTTCATCAGATTTATTAACCGTCTATAATTCCCTTTGAGACTTGTATATTAATATATTTTTTGGACAAGAATATTGATAATTAGATTATTATTATTATTATTATTATTATTTGTTAGAATGTTTAAATGATTATAGTTTGATGATAATTTCGGTAAGAGTCACGGTAATATTTCGGCAACAATTCACGAACTGGAAACACTTCATAGCGTAGTGGAATATTCCTGAAACGTTTTCGACACTGTTGAAAGCTCCCCCTTCTCCTCCTTGTGCTTCTAATAGCTGCCGAGAAAATTCGAGAAACGAAACGAAACGAAACGCACCCCAATTAGACGTTCGCGTATTCACCAAACTCTCTCCTAATTCCACGAAATCGAATCGAAAATAAACGGGGAACTTGCCCCTCGTCGTACGGTGTCGCCTTTTCAAGCCGATTTTCCTTGTAATTCTACTCTAAAGGGATACAATTTTTAAGTACGAATGCGTATTGACTTTTATCGATGTTTCGAAAGGGTACGAAGGGATCCTATTAGCCCTTTTTGTTTTTTTGATAGTTGCAACTGTCGAATTCGAATTGCAATAGAACTCAAATAAGTTTTCGAAATTAGCTACAATTTTAATTTCTAAAATTTGTCAAGCGAGAACAATGATTATTAAAACAATGCTAAATGTTTAAATGTAAATGTATCGGATACACATTGTCGTCAATGTGGAAAGAACGAAACGAATCGATTCTATTGTTACGTTCAATGAGTATTTCATTTTTTTCCTGCTTTTTTTTTTTGTTCAGATTTGTAATATCGAAAATTCTGGAATTCTGTTATTGACAGGCTTGACAAGCAATTATATTTAACGAAACCATTATACACGAGAGTACACGGTTTGAAACAAAGAGAAATAAATCGAAATTTGAATTATGCATTCTACTGATTATCGTGACACGTTTGGAAATCGTTGAAACGGTCATTAATTTGACACGTCAAATTAATGAATTCAATCTGATTGCTTACGATATTGCTCGACGAGTTATACAAAACGGAAATTCGATAAAATTGTTCTTGCCATAGGTATTATTATTTCTATATCAACTACCTACTACTACTACTATTACTATGCCCTCGTATTCGTATAGTACGTTTTACCGTACAATTTCTAAGATTAAATCATGATAAAAGGGGTGGGGAGGATGGTTAGCTGAGATCATCGAAAATAGCAAGACACAGCACCCGAGGGCTACGAATAAATGAGGAAACAAAAATCCAAAGAGTATAAGTGAGGGTAGGTTCTATTAAAATTTTCCACAGTATAACAGCTGTTACCAAGCATAACAAGAAGATGATCATTTTCTTTTACGAGCTTGATGCATCATTTTCTCTATTTTATTTTTATTAACCTAACCGAAATGTTTCCTTACTCATTAAAATTTTCAATTATACGAGAATGCCGAAAATTTCAAATTGATGCGTATATGTAAACGTAAATATGTATTCAATAATTCGTGTTCGTCAGAAATCAATTATTTATCGATATCGTGGAAACATTTACCAACAAATTTACGTCGAATAACATTTTCGCAATAATGACGAATGATTTATTTATGATTATAATTGTACTCGCGTTACGAATTATTAAATATATATAATCATTGATTATAGATGGTTAGAACACGATAAGAAAAACATTTTGATAGACGTTAGCATGTTTCAGAAATAGTTCTTGTCATGGATATGATAAGTTACTCGTAACGAGGTTACCATAGGTCCTGGTTACACCATAGAAATGTCACGAACAGATGTCGAACCTAAAAGAGATGAGCAGTACAATGGGTGTTACGTATGATATATTTCTTTTATCGACATCAATATCTCGACACAAAAATATATGCCGTAAGTTCAGTATACTTATTCATCTTTATATCTTTATTACGCATGAAGAAATTCTCCAAGTAAAATGTCTTTATAAAGAAGCATATATGAAATATCTATGACAGATACTTACAATTAGACACGTAGTAATATGTGTTTATGTAAGTATATGCAAGTATATGCAACTATACGTATGTATACATCCATTAAACTCGGGATAGAACGTGCAGAATCGGCTAATGGAAAAACGCGGAAGCTTTAACATTACGTAAATGCATTTGACGACTATGAAAGATGCAAGAAGTATTATATACAAGCAACGTGATGGTGGTGATGGTAATGATGGTAGTGGTATAACGATCATTCTTTGTACGACATATACAACCGTAAAATATAATCCGCGTGAAAGATTGCAGTAATTTAAGGACTCTCGTTGAAAAGCCATATTGCTAATTGTACAACGAGTGGACCGATGATTTACGATGGAAGATATCAATGGCGATGATTATTACTCGAGAAAAAGAGAGAAAGGGGGGGGGTGAGACACCGAATGATATAATGGAAGACATAGAGACACATAGAAAGAAAGAGAAATCATTCTTCCATTGAGTAATAATACTTTTTCTTCTTTGAAAATGAACATCGATCCAGAATAATACGAACTAATAAAGCGTATAGAATAAAATTAGAAGGTAAAGAAATAAAATAAGGTCCGTTTGTTACCTGTCTACCTCGCAAGACGCACAACCACCAGCCTTCGAGACCTGCCGTGTTCTGTTCCAACACAGTAAGAACATCACCTTTTCTAAAAGCCAATTCGTCCGGTGCTTCAGCTATGTTGTCGTACAATGCTCGTGCTTTAACGCATTTTTGCTGCAACAAATAGGAAACAATGCTAATTAGTTTATTAGCGTTAGGCTCGTTAGATCTTTCCTATCTAATCGATTGAATATTTTGTAATATTTTTCTCTTCGTGGAAATGAAAATACAAAGTTTATTCTATTGCATATGTTAACACCGGCACGTTTACTTGTTATTTTTTTCAGAATAATATTTGTATTTTTCAGTAATGCACATGTCATTTATATATAATTATTATATTATTTAAATATATGTGTATAATATACCGGTTAAACAATTTTGTTGTAATAGAAAAATGTTATTAAAAAAAGCTTCCCCCAATGAAGGATCGAACACTAAAACTAGCAGCATGAGAAGCGAGCACGCTACTACTTAGGCTAGCGCGCCACTTAATAAACAGTTGCATTTAAGATAATATAAACATATATACAACCAAAATCAAAATTTTAAAAGCATTTTGATAAAATACTTTACCACATTAACACTCTAAAGGTATACTATTAATATACCAAAGCTCGTTAAAATCCGCGAGGGCACTGTGTGAAAAAGTACATTTTTGTATAGTTCACGATAACCGAGAATTCGCATCAATTGGATACGGCGACTACTATCCCTTTGCTCAATTTAAATCCATAAAGTTTTAACTTGGTCTCCCTCAACTTTCTATTTCGAGATACGTTCTCGTTCGCACCGAACTCGCGTTAGTTGTCAACAACGATCACTTAAGAATCGCGCCCAACCGAAGTGCTGCTTGCGAACGATGCAACTCGGACGTATGCAGTTTACGAGGAAGCCAAAGGAGAAGCTTCTCGCACGCTTTTAACTTTAAAGTGAGTTCAATTGAAATGCCTCGGCATCGCAGTAACAGAACAGAACAGAACAAACGGCGGCAAACTAAACGACGATTGAGACAATGATTTCATTCGTTGTCATTTTCCCTTTTCCTGTGCGTGTTAAAAACACTGAGCATCATTTCATTCGTAACTTTGACGAATTCCAAAGGCGGCGCCCCATCACTTTATTTCTTTATTCACCTAAATTCTCGTTTAGTTGTTTCCGTTTAATTCATTTCATTACTTCCCGTCAAACATAATTAATATTGTAACCAACACCACAACGCGAATATTCAAACTTGTATTTTGTTCAAACGACGATTGAGAAAAGTTCTGATCTATCGATGATCTACGAAATCTTATTTTCTAACCAGGATATATAGATTTGCAAGTGGCAACTAAACCGAGCCCACAGTTTCAATTTACAATATTTCCTTTTACATTCACGCAAACGGGAAATGAAACTACGGGTGTTATGCGGGTCACGCGTTTCGAATTTATCGTACGCGTTCCTCCAATTACGAGTTCTGCGAGCCTTCCCATCCAAGCATCCCGAGAACACTGTGGAATACGATAACAGAATAGTACGAACTATGACCATTCGAGAATTATTTCGAGAAAATAAGAAAATTGAATTGAACGATATAATGGTACCTGTCCTATTGGAAAGTTCATAAATTGCATGTATGTAACACTGACAGGTTTCACGTTTATACTCAGATGCAGAAAACCACATTCTTTGTTTTAAACATATCACGTTTTAGCATCCGAATCGTATTACTTTGCATCGAGTATAGAAAAAAAAAGAATTGGGCACACGCAGGAGGGGAACAAACAAAATCCTGAGAACAACCAGTCACGTATGACTTTTTATTTTTTAATTGAAAAGAACAAAGCCAAAGCGAGATTTTCTTTTCTTTAAACAATGATGTAAATTCGAAAAACCGATTACTATGGTAAATAATACCTATAATGATAGACAGGGGATTGGATTCGTTAACGGAGACCTCACAATAGATACGAAGAATGATTTGGGTTTTTAGAACCGATGATGTTTAATGGGAAACCTCGGGGGAGGTATTCTCTTGTTTTGGATAACAGTGGGACACGTGTAAATTGTTTTTTAAGACTATACTCGTTCACCCCTATTTATCGTTTCTCATTCATACGTCACCTTATGTATACATATATATATGCAGTTATATGTTATGCAGTTATATATACCTAGTCCTCGTGATTCCATTTCTGCCGATGTTGCGACTCTTGCATCGAATAGCAACATCAGCTAACGCTGATGCATTGTCGTGCGAAAATGTTTGCACAGGTGCATCGTTCACATTAGTACAAATACGTGAGAGTATATTTACACGTTTCACCAACGTATCTTTCTTGACAATGAATGCATTATATTAAATTACGGTTGGTATCAACTCGTTCAACAAAGATACAACAAATTCTCTCTACGAGAAGTTTAATACAATTATTACAAATAATAATAAAAGGTACAAATATTTGAAATGATTATTAAATATGATTTCAATGTATTCTAATAATAAAAGATTTTTAAATTGAAATTTCAATGAATGATCGAAGAAATAGATTCGAAGCTTGCAAGAATTGACCCCATGGATGTCCCCCTTCTTCTAATCCCAAAGGAATTTAATACCCACGTCAATACGCCTACCGAATTCCTCAACGATGAGAAGAAAATATACCGATCTACATTCCTGGTACGCTTAAAACGAACACTTACCTATATCATTGTGCTTACCTAAGATATACATAGACGAGATCGATATGTAATATCCTAGAAGCGAAAGGTGTCCTTACCAAAGCGGAAAGATACCAAGATACCTCTCTTCTACCTGTGTGTTCAACACACGTATCTTAAATCATGGCGTGGGACGTACCTAAACTAATATTTTGACAACGGACACACAACAGTCTCTCCACTTTTTTCTATGATATTACTACGCGTATATAGATGTTAGGTATACATAACGTTCTTTAACAGCACAACCTTCTACTTTATGATATTAATTTCATATTTTCTAGTCGCACGAGAATAACAAACTGTGCACACATCAGTTCGATAATAAACCCACCTAGCATGAATGAAAAAGAATAATGTTATAATAATAATAATAATAATAATAATAATAAAAGGATCCGAGAAATTTTCGAGCTTTCAATTTGGATGATGAATATTTTTTTTTTCGTATCTACTGCATCAAATGACAAATGCATTAGATTTAGGTTGTACAACACAGTTTAACAATTTGTTTCAATTTATTTTAATGTTATGTTGAATGGAGTACAACAAAAAGTGACCTGATCGAAATGATACGACGCGTATGTGTGCATGTAAATGAAATTATTATTGTAGGATAGAAAAAAAAGGGGGGGAGGAAAAAAAATAAAAAGATTATAACGATAAACCACGGATTACGGGATCGTATCTGTCTACTACCTAAGCAATATTTTTTATACACTTTACTTTCTAAACTCACCCCCTGCTAGCTGGCTTTCTTTATTACGTATGCAAACTATTTTTCTCTTCTATCTCTTTCTCTCATTCTCGTTCTCGTTCTCTTTGAAAAGCACCCAGACCCACCACGGGGTGTGTAAACTTCGTGAGTCAGTTTTTCGATGCGTTGCATTTGACGAAGGGTGCGCGCACGTGCCACTCTTTTGGCTTCACCTCGAATACAATGATCGTATATTATTAGTTCCAGTCGACAGTAAAACTTGTTCAAGCTTTTAAACTCAATATCGTAAGTTGTTTTGTTCCGCGTTCACGCCAGTTTCGTGTGTGTATGCACAAATTTATGAAGTATATATCTATTGTTACATCGCATAGAACTAATTTCAAGAATTTTTGTTCTTTTTTCGGTTTCTTTGGATTTCTTATTAATCTTTTATCATAAATGTGCAGTATATACACTTATAGAAAACAGATTTTAATGATTTTTATATTAAATTAAAGTACACTCTTTTGTCTAAGTGTAGAACACCATATCGAGTTATAAATTTAGCACGTAAAGTTCAGAACATGTCAGAGAATGCAATGCTGTAAATTGTGCATCTTTGCAATTTCTTTGAAAAGTTTTGGTAAATATTTTTTATATTAAAAATTAATAGACTTTAATGATTTTTATATTAAATTAAAATGCACACTTTTAGCTACACGTAGAGTACAAATTTGAGTTATATATCAATCTGCAAAGGTTCATAAAATGGCAAAGAATGCACTGCTGTAAGTTGTGCATCTTTGCAATTTCTTTGAAAAGTTTCGGTAAATATTTTTTATATTTTTAGCAAACGGATTTCAATGATTTTTATATTAAATTAAAGTACACTCCTTTGTATCCTCAATATTACTAATTTGAGTAATCACAAATTCCTATCACAAATTTTTCGATAATGTATTATAAAAAGTTTAACGATAGAAACAAATTGCTGAGAAATTATTTACGTTTTAAAATAATTATTCGACAAAGTAAGGTACGGTTTACCGCGGATAATAAAAGAAACTTGCAGAATGTTACAAACACACGTAATGCCAAAAGTTCAGTTCCCGGTATATTAAAGTTGGAACGATGCCAATCCGACATTGTGTATGGCCAAGAGAAAAGAGAAGAAACCCAATGGGTCGTTCTCGAAGCAAAGTGGGCTTAGGAAGATTCGAAAGTCGCATTCTACGGGACACCGCATTCTAACATATGGGGGAAAAGGACACATGAGTATGCTCATATCGATACAAGTTCGACGAAGCGTATTACACACGAAGGGTTAGAGAGGAATCGCTTTGCAACACGCGCCCTTTTCGTTGAGCAAAGTACCGTTACTGAGAACCCTTCACAGAACCGCACACCATCGTCTTATTCGGTCCTCAACGTTGTCGTCGGCTTCATTTCCTTACTCATACTCGTCCTAACCTTCCTGGGCCTTTTCTATGATTTAACGTAACCCTAATTACAAATACGTTCAACGAGAATTCATGAAATTCATGAAATTCATGAAATTCATGAGGGGAGACTGTGACACTGATTAGAAATCATCTCAAATGACTTTAATAACAATTCTAATTATAATACCACGTGTGTTTCTTTATAAATGGGAATTGTTCACTTGTACGAATCGATTATTATAGTTCTCATAATAAATTTTCTAATTTTT